ACTTAATCTTATATGATTAATTCAAGTCTGTGAAGTGTTAATTTTTCAAAAAAGTTCCATGTAGGTCTGGAAAAGCTATTTTGAGCATGTTAAGCACGCTTCTACACAACCACATAACATACACTTCACATGTGTTATCACTATTTATTATAAGTTAAATTATGTTTTGTAGATTATTTAGTGATTAATGTATTTATTTATAAATAATTTATTGATATTTTTAGTTGTGTGGATAAGTTTAAAAATAATTATTGGTAAAAACGAAGAGCTTAATTATTAAGTTAATAATGGAAAAAAATAATGTTGCAGATAAAAGAACGATAATAAATGATAAAATTAAAAAAGTAAAATTTGCAAGTTTAAGAAAAAAGAAAAGGAAGTTTAAAGGAAACCAACACACAAGCAAAAAATAATGTGTGTTAATTCTTAATTTCAGTTCTTGGTTGCCCTAAATGCAAACAAAGTTCAGGTATGAAGCTAAGTGAAAGTTTAAAATATGGGTTTGCAAGTAAAATGAAAGTAAAACATTCTTGCCAATGGGAACATTCATTTTGGACATCAAAAAAACTACCTTTTAACTTACGAGGGTTCAGTATAAACTATAGAATAGTATACTCGATGCGTAGATGCAGTCAAGGCTTTGCTGGTATTAATCGTTTTAGTTCCTTTATGAATTTTCCACCACCATTTACATCAAAAAATTATACCAAGATTGTTTTTACGTTAAAAAAGAGTGTTAAGGTTGTTGCTACTCAAACTTTGAATGATGCAGTTCAAGAACTAAAAGCGTTATCCAAAAATCCGCCACAAATTAGTTTTTATGATGTACCTGTATCATGTGATGGTACCTGGCAAAGGCGAGGATTTTCATCGCTAAATGGTACTGTTAGTTGTATTTCAATGGACACAGGCAAAGTTTTGGATGTTGTTCCGATGAGTCAGTATTGTAAAAAATGTGAGAAAATTTATAAAATGACAGATTCATTAGAGAAAACTAATTTGGAAATTATTCACAACTGCTCAGCAAATTTTACTGGATCAGCACTAAATATGGAAACAGAAGGCACAAAAATTATTTTTGCGAGATCCACAAAATCGCAAATGAGGTATACAGAATTATATGGAGATGGCGATTCTAAAAGTTTTATTTCAGTGAAAAACATATACGATGGTATAGAAGTTGTAAAGAGAGAATGTATAGGGCATGTTTTTTTATTCTGAATATTGTATTCCCTTATTTTTAGTTACACAGCCATTTTTTCAATTTTTATTTTTATTCGTGTGGTATAGTTTATAAATATAAAATTATAGATTAACTTGTTGTATAATTTTAAACCCCTTTAAATTAGTTTTATCAAGCTTAGAATTAAAAAGCTCTAAAAAATAACATCTTACTATAGCTTTTTTTACAAAATGTTTTACGTTTTGCTTATTTTCTCAATATGCGTTTTTTCAGAGTTTAATAGAATTTGGAAATGTGATAATTCTTTTTCTATTATAGCTTTTGAGCTAAAATTTTCACACAACACCCAAAATATATTGTTTCATGCAATAAACCAAAAGTTTGCTTTAAATTTTTTGTATTTTCTACAATTAGCTTGTTTAAAGTTTGTTTTTATCTTAAAAATATAGAAATATTTTGTTGATTTTTTAAAAACTTAAATAGATATCTTTCCCAAATAAATATTTTTATTTTTTTTTGGTTTATTGCATGCATCTTATGTTAATAAACAATGTTAGAAAGTTTCATTGAAAAATATTTTACCAATCCAAGGGAATTATCTTTCCAAATTTCAAGAATTTATGGTTTTCGCCATTTTGAATCAGTATCCATGGCAACAGCTGTCGTTATTTTAAAATAAAAATATATTTTTTAAATTACTATTATAATATTCTTTCTAATGAATACCCTAAAAAGTATATGCACTTGGTAGTTCTTGAAAAAATTTTGAAGGGGGTGAGCCCCCTTAAGCATAGTAACAAAAAGTAAGCATAATGACAATAAGCTAAATAAACAGTTTAAAGATGAAGTGCAAAGTCCTATGGCTTACCTTCTCGGTGGTGCACTTTGTTAAGTAAATTAGACAATTATTTGTCTAATTTATGAACTGAATAGCCAGGGCAAATTTACTGACAGTTTTAGTATTTATTCTTACATATACTCATGTAAAAAACAAGATATAAAATTAAAAAATTATTAATTTGATAAATAAAGTTTTTTTCTTTAACTAATTGATTTATAATTCTGGTTTATAAAAGTTAAATATGGGGGAGAAGGGGTGTAGTGAGAGTTTTCCTCCAAAATATTTCCCCAAATAGAATATTTCTCTCCCGTTGACCATTTAAGACACTAAATGTTAAGAAAATTTTTGAAAATTAAATTTGCTAATATTAGTCAATTTATAAAAAAAATTTATTTATGCCGAGGTTCAAAAGTTTGTTTATCTTAACTTTAAGTTTTTAGTCACATTTTGAAATCACGCTTCTCAAAAATTTAAGCAAACGTGTTTTTTTAACGTTGTTTTTAAAAGCGCGTTTTTTTTCAATTTTTATACCATTAACGATTTTTGTTTTGGTTCTTTAAAACTGAATAACTTTTTTTCTTTTCATGATATAATCATAATAAAACCATCTTTAGAAAGATAATATTAGGCTTTATTTATCTTGGTAATTTTTTTAACATAAAGTTCAGTTAGAAATTTTGATCGAAGTGCCTATCTAAGCGATTCGCAAAAAAAATTTTAATGCAGCGTTGTATTAATTGCTTTAAAAAAATAAAATATTTAGACTTAATAATTTATAAAAGTGCAATTTGAAGTACTTATCGACTCGTTAATTGTTTTATTAACATTTTTTAAAAATTTGATAAATATATTCTGTAAACTCGATGTTTAGTATTTTCAAAGTTTTTCTGATTCCATTCGAACATTTTACTTTTGTAAATCTTTTAAATTGCTACTAATATTATGGTATAATACTGTTAAAACTGTGTATGCTTTTTTGCTTATTTTGTATAACGTTTAATAGTTCTTTTTTTTGTGTGTATTTTTCTATATACAATCTTATAACATACTTTCTAGCCATTATCTTATATTTGGCCATGATAAGTCTTAATTCTGGATATGCTTGAAATGCATGTGACTTTCTTGAGTAACGGAAATTGGAGCGAAATCTGGATGAAAAGAAATTAATTGATTTTGCATATAATCATGCAGAATCAGATTTGGTCGATTGCAATTTCTAAAATATGCTGAAATTGCTTTAAAGCATAAAAGGCATTCAAGAATGGAACTCCTATAGAAAAATGGTGGCATGGGATTTGCAAAAGGCACAAAGATTTAACTTGACGTCAACCAGAAGGTACAGCAGCTATTTGATATCAGTGTATGAATGTTTGAAAAGTGTCAAAATATTTTTCCATTCTTAAAAATGTGTTAACGGAAAACAACCTACTTCAGAAACCGCAAAACATTTGGAATATAAATGAGACTGGGATGCAGTTTGATTATGGTTCTGGAAAAACTGTTGCTAAAAAAAGAACTGAGTATTTACAATATCCTTAATTAGGTAACCGGGAAACAATCAGGATTAGGATTAGGGTTAAGTTTAGGTTGGTTAAGTTAGGGTTAAGGGTTAGGGTTAGAGTAATAACTTTTGTCAATGCAATAGGTAACTCTTTTCTACCACATTTTAAATTAAAAAAAACAAACTACTAATTCTCTCTCGGGTTTTTAATTTGAAAATGTCTCAGAAGAAAGTATATGGAGTGTTTCACACAGTGTTTGGATGAAGCAAGGCATTGTATTTCTATGGTTTACAAAGACATTTCTTTCTCGAAAATTTGGATTTTTATAAATATATACGAATTTGTTTACTCTTACAATATAATAAAGCTCTCGTTTTTTAACTAAATTTTATTTTTTTGGTTGTTATAGGGTTAGGGTTAGAAGTTTCATTGTCTTTGACCCAATTGCCCCAAAGGGGCAAACAAATGGGATTCTTACATATATTTTGGGTTTTTATAAATGTGCATGAATTTGTTTACTCTGACAAAATGAAAAAGCACTTGTTCTTTAACTGAAGTTAATTTTTATTATTTTTAAAGAGCCTTAATTTTTAAGACCCTACATATTTTTAATATTTATAAATGTAAATGAATTTGTTTACTCTGACAGTTTGAAAAATCACTTTTTCTTAAATTAAGTTAATTTTCACGGTTTTAACAGAGCTTTTTGTACTCTTGGCCCAATTTGCCACAAAATGGGAAAACAGGCTCTGTGTATTTTTACATATTTTCCTAATATTTATAAATAAAATAAATTTGTACATTCTTACAGTTTGAAAAAGCTCTTTTTTTTATTTAAAACTAATTTTTATTGTTTGTACAGAGCTTTGATTATTCTTGGCCCAATTGCCCTGAATGGGAAAAACAAGCCCTAAGATTTTTACATACTTTCTTGATATTTATAAATGTAAATGAATTTGTTTGTTCTGAAAGTTTAAAAAAACTCTATTTCTTTATCTAAAATTGGTTTTTACAGTTTTAACAAAGCTTTTATAGCTTTTGATTAAATTGCCTCAAATGGGGCAAACGAGCAGTGAAATCCTTACCTATGGGCCCTTAATATGAGAGTGATAATTTGTAGACTTGATTGCTTTGATTCTTAAGTAAAAAAGAAAACAATAAAAATAGTTCAGCATAAGTTTTTTTAGCAACAAGATTCTGATATTGTATTTTTTATTGTAACTATTTATAGTAAAATTTTATTTTTATTTTCTAGAATGGGAATTGAACTATAAAATTTAAATGTATTTTATGTTACTTAAGTAACATAAAATATTGAGGATATTTCTTTTTATTTTAACTACCTAATACCTTATTCAGACCAATTCTTAACTTAAATAAGCTTGAACATTTCATTTAGTATTAAAGATTATCTGGTATGTTTTAAAATAATATTGCTAAAAAAATAATTAAAAAATTTAACTTTTAAATTTACCTTAAACATTTGTGACTTGGCAAACAATAAAACAAAAACACCAATGCCACTCAAAACCTATTTAAAAAAACAGTTTTATTTAAAAATAACTTCAAAAAAAAAAAAACTAGAACAGAAGCTTTAATAAGATTTAAAAAAAAAAAAAGTGCTATCTTAAAACTTACAGAGCTTCCGACTCTTCCAAGAGCATCTTCTGCTCGTTTTACTTTAGTTGAATAAGCACTTGTGCTGAATGCTCTAGCAATATGAGAACAAAACTCGACAGATATTCCAGTACACATAACAAGATTTACTAAAGAAACTGCATTTAAAGAAATATTCCACAGGTACATAAGACTTAACAAGTTTAGAATAATCATGACAAGAGTTAACCCAATACAAATGGCAAGACCAAGGTTAAATCCCATCATGACAAAAGTTACAGCAACAATGGCAGAAAGGACAGTTAACAAATCTTTCCAAGTATTTTCAATGGCTGTAAGGTATTGTTCATAAAAAACATAAAAAACGCTGTATGCAAAGACCTCATGCCCAATCTGTTTTGAAATATTACTCGCCATTTCTCTTGCATATTTTAAACAACTAGTAAACTCTTGAGGTGTTGATGCAACAGTGTGGTAAGTCATAAAATATGAGGAGTTTACTCTGAATTTATGTTCTGGCGAATTTAATTTCACTGCACTTCCATATGCAGCATGACCACCTTTTGAACATTTTTGTGTTGGGTTATCTTTTAGATACCACTCCAAATATTGATCAAACTGAGTTGGTTCAGGGCGTAGACCAGCTTGACTTTTATTTAAACATGTATAACAATTCCACGAATCAGGTGCACTAGAAGAGCAAAATTGTCCACTGCCACTAAAATTCTTTAACTCTATAATACTGCTGTTTACAATTTTTTCACTTACAGTATAATTAAGAATGCGACAACAAGGTCCAGCAGGATCAAGCCAAGCAAAGTAATCATCAATCCAAGATGAGGCTGGAAGGGCAATCGTACTATAGTTACTCATCAAAGAGTTGACAAAAATAGTTTCAACAACTGAATTTTGATTGCAACCACTAACACCACATATTTTATTTTGCTGATTTAGGTCCGAGTAGTTATAGCCTTCTTTTACAACAAAATAAACAGGAGCTCCTGTTTTTAAATAAACAGATATATTGCTAAAATAGTCAATAAGATAAGAATCTTTTGGAAAAGCTTGACTTTGATCCGGACCAATGTCAATATATGGAATACAAGAAACAGCCAAAGCAAGATTAATGGAGAAAACTAGAATCTAGAAAAAATTCAAAAACAAAAATAATAATCAAAATAATTCTATAAATATTTCAAACCTTTTTTTTAAACCAAAATAAACATACCACAATAACACGAACAGGATAAAGCATGAGGACCCAAGAGTAGATTTTGTTCATAAAATAATAAAGAATGCCACCAGGCATGCATTCATTTCCTGAGTGGGCTGATTTATCAATACCAGTACAGCATATAACATCATATTTATTATTAGCTTGTCGCTTGGCATCAAGAGCAACAACAGCTACAAGCATTGTGATTTGGAGCAAAAAATTAAAGACCACAGCAAGAGCAGCAAAAATAGAAAATGTATGAACAGCAGATATTTTGGAAAGGCTGCCTGAATAAAAAATATTTAAACTTATTTTTAATTATAACATTTCAATAATTTTTTAATGTAATAATTTAAAGGAAAATTATTACATTGTTACAAATTGGCTTAAAAAAATATTTTATACATGAAGTTATAAAGTTTAAAAAAACTTTCTAAACTTACCAAAACCAAATAAATAAACCAATAAAAAAAAATATAACTTTTTTTTTTAAAATGAAGAAAAATATTTTAATAATTTCAAATATAGTTTACTAATTTTTTCAGAATTTTATTTTTAAATACTTAAAAAATGATTGAAAATCATCAACTTTGAATTGATTTCCACCTGAAAAAAAACATTTAACACAAATGCAAAGTCCTATAAATTTTCGAAATTTCAAGATAAAAAATGAGGGGAGAGTGGGGCACCAGGATAAATTGGGCACCATGAAACATTGTAATTGTGGTGTAATTGTATCATAAGAGTTGTGATAACCACTTTCATATGGTGAAACAGTTACTATTATGTTTTGAAAAAAAATTATATCATTTAACATCATTAGGCCTGCAAGGGGTCGAAACTTGTGTTTTTTTGATGACAAAGTAATTTATTAGTTTTCAAAATTCATAAGTTCCAAGGTATCTTATTCAATTGTCTATTGGCAATAAACATTATTTTGTAAACTACAATCCGTGGGCTCTTTACTTCATAAAACAAAATCATTAAAAAAACAAATTGATACTAAAAACAAAGCAATTTTTTTCTATGAGCAAGTATGGGCTAACTTGATACAGCATTTGTGGGGGAGGGGGGACTAAAACCTTAGAATTGTACTCCATTATGTCATTAACAATTCTAAAAATTATTTCTTTAAATATTTACAGTCAATTTTTAAAAGATTTATGTAATTAAAATACAAGGAGATTCAATTTCAATACAAAGCCATTTTGGTAATTAATAAATTCAATTTTGTAGGTATAAATTTTTCAACAATTTAAGCCAATCACCTAAAATAAAATTCATATTAAACAAATTGTTACGAAGCAAAAACCAAAAATGTCATAGTGCCCCACTAACCCCTATAGCTAATAACTTGTTATATCACATAAGTAACTTTGATTCTTTCATTGGAAAATCAAGACCACAAAATCTACATATTGTTTGAATAATGAAGTTGTTTGAATCAAAAATACCACTTTAAAAAAATCTATTTTGTGATGGAATTAAAACTTATTGTATGAGAAAAGTATGATGAATAAAATTATAAAAAAAGTTTTAAGCGCTATATTCTGTACAAGCTATTCAACAAGCTGTACACAGTGTTAGCGAGTATATATCTTACCTTTAGAGCTAGGTCAATGTTTGAGTATAAGTTATGCTATAAATAATATATAAACTATTTTAATTAAAGATTTTATAAATGTATTATTAATATTACTTTATTATAACATAATTTTAAAAATTTTACTTTTCGTTTGATGTTATAGATTTACTCTATATAGGATTTGTGTAATGTTTAACTAAACAATTCAGGCTTGTACAGGGTGGGCCAAATGAAGTCATCCTATGTTGTTCGGCTCTTCAAATAAACATATTAAAAAATGGAATCAATTTTTTTTCGAAATAAAAAACCTTGATTCTATTTTTTTAATATGTTTATTTGAACCTTTACAATTTTATTGTTCAAGTTGAGAAGATGATATCGGACAAATGCGCGCCGCCACAATTGATTGCTATACGGGCTCGTTTTATGGCATTTTTCATCTTGCAAACCAGTGCAAACCGCCAAAGCGAGAAATGAGGCAACCCGGGAACACCGCTTTCAGAATATTGGTTGTGGCTCGCGCACTGTGTGCCGCTGTTCTGTCCTGTTGGAACCACATCTCCTCCAGTCCTAAGTCGTTCAATTTTGGCAGAAAAAACCCGGTTAACATGACTCTATAGCGTGCACTGTCCACTGTTGTTGCTTGACCAGCAGCGCCTTTGAAAAAAATGACCAGATGACTTTTCCAGCGTTACAGCGCACCATGCAGTCACTTTCAGCGGGTTTAATGGCTCCTCCTGCATCACTCATGGATTTTCAGTGCGCTAGAAGCGATAGTTTTGCTTGTTCACGTACCTGCTGAGGTTGAAATGAGCCTCATCGCTCAGATTTCACATTGGCCTCAATCTGCAAAAAAAAAAAAGCATATTACAATAGGGTGATTTCTTTTGGCCCACCTTGTAGAAACATCAGTTTTAAATGTATAGAAACTTGTGCTTAAGCATAACTTTATTTAACAAACAGTCTACATCAAAGGTTATAAACACTGTATGCATTGTAATTTGCAATACTTGTATATTCTGTAAACATTGAAACTTTAAACTTATAAATGCCATAAATGCGCTGAAAATTTATATACTGCAGGGTTTGCCATATGCAGCATAATTCACAATGATAATATTTAAATGTATATATATATAACGTACCAAAACCAAAGGCAACTGATTCTGATAATGAAGATAGTAGCATACTTGGCCCAACCATCCCAAGAACTCTACCCACCTGTTCTCCAACAGTTTCATTAGGAAGCCTATCATCCCATTGAAGAGCTTGAACTAGGATAAAAATATTATCTATGCGAACTGCTAAGACAAGAAAAGGAATGACTTCAATTATAATCAAGGTAGCTGGAACACCAGCATATGAAAAAACACCAAGTGACGCAGTAACAGATAAAAGGGCTATGATTACACCAGCAATTCCTACAGTTATTTTGGAATCTACCTAAAAAGTAAAATATAATAATTTAAAAAATCTAATATCTCTTATTCACAATCATTAGCATCATCTCTATCTCTCTTAATTCCTCAAGGGAGTGCCACTAAAACAACTGATGGTTTTAGTGGCACTCCCTTATCTTCATTTATATACACACAGATTTCGACAATTTCGACAATTAACCTACATTTTATTGTTCTCGAAAAGTCAAAGCAATTAAATTAATGTGGAAGTACATTAAATTTTATTGTTTTTTAAAAAACTTGCAATAATAATGAATAGTAAGCTTATTTGATTAATGGTATTTTTGTTGTTGTTTTATATTATATTTTAAACATTTGCCGAATGTTACTACATTGACTATCTTATAGCCTGCTACTACAAGGGAGTGTTGCTACATCGACTATCTTATAGCCTGACTAGCAACGGAGTGCTGCTACTTTGACTTACAAATAGTCTGACTCGCAAGGGAGTGCTGCTACATTGACTGAGGATTTGGTTAGGGCAGGCAGTCTATCATTTATTAAAAAAAAATTATTCAAGTTTTAGTACTATTTCTTGTCTGGTTTATTAACGCTCTCTTCAAAAGTACAGTTTATGAGAAAAAATTTTGACTACCATAAAAGACATATATATATATATATATATATATATATATATATATATATATATATATATATATATATATATATATATATATATATATATATATATATATATATATATATATATACCATAAAAGATATATATATATATATATATATACATATATATACATATACATACATATATATATATATATATATATATATATATATATATATATATATATATATATATATATATATATATATATATATATATATATATATATATATATATATATATAAATAGCTAAAACTTTTTGCAAATCCGAAACTGGCAAAAATATAAGATTTAGCAGGGGTTAATAGGCAGGGCTAGAAAAAAATTTATATTACCTAATATATTATAATTTTATGCTAACATTTACTTTCTATTAAATAAATTTATATATTTTTAAACTCTCATTTACTTCCTACAAGATAGCAAGCAACTACTATTGAGTTATGAGTTACTTTAAAATAGAAAAAAAGTTAAAATATATTAAATAAACTTGATAAGTTGAAAATTGTATAAAAAAGGAAAGCATGAAGATGTTTAAGATTTATAAGGTGTTTTTGATGTGCAAGGAAAAAAAACTGGATTATTAAAAAATGATGCAACTTGTTGAATAAATAGCCAAGCAAGAAAAGGTTTTGGTTAATCTTTATAAAGATAATAGCTTGTTTGAGCATTGATCATGATTGAATTTGTAGAAAAAAAAGAAATCCAACCTTGCAAGAATATGAAAGTGGCTTAAGCTTGGTTGATTATGCAGCTCTAGTTACATTTACAGCATGCTTTTAGACTTTGTCTGAGAGTTAGAGGAATGCCAACATTATTGCAATATTTTTTTGCAGTAAATAAATAAGTTTTGTTGTCTAACAAAAATTGTGGATTTTAAGTCCAGAAATTAAATCAATAAACCACTGCAAGCTTTGGGCTGTTACAGAAGAGAGATCAGATTTAAAATCGGCTGCTTGTTTTAAGCAATTAAAAAGTGAAGATTTTTTGTCAAGACAAGAGTATAAGGTTGAGTAAATAGAGCCACTTTAGATTTCATGAAGATCGTTATTGTAGATAAGAAATAATACAGGAGTAAAGATAGAACCTTGTGGTACCCTTAAAGTTACTTGAAATTAAGGAGAGGGTAGTCCTTCAAGAATAACTTTACTACTGCAACTAGAGAGAAATAGTTTAATAACCTTAAAACCTTTATAACAAGAAAATAATAACAGAGTGAAGGCTTATCATAGGATAGTTGAAGAGGTCAAAAAATTTTCTAGAGTCCTGAAAAATTGGGACCACTTATTTAGTACTTTTTAAAAATTTAGTAAAAATTGAAGAGCGTTCTAGGGAACACTTTTAGAGACTATGATGAAAATTTTGGCAGGAGCACAAACTGTAGAAGTGTTTAATTGAGAATAAATTTTAGTTTTGGAAGCCATTTTGATGATTAACAACGGGTTAATTTTTTCAACTGTTAGGAAGAGTATGGGCACTTTATTCAAGGGTCAAATTAGAATAAGATTTTTTTGCAGATAACTCTGCTTTATTCTGGAGAGAAGTAAAAAGACTTACTTTAGTTAATGACACCTATTAGGACTAACCAAAAATCTAGAACCTAACATCTGAGATAAGATACAAGATTTAGTAAATGAGAATAACAGAGCTTAACATCAGACAAGACTTTTTTACATTGTCTTCTTGCAATAATAAAAGACATTTGTTATTAAGAGAGATGTTCTTGTAAAAAAGATGAAAAGAATGATTAATGTTGAGAAATGTGAAGTAGAATGAGGATTGACTTAAAATTGAAGAGAAGAATTAAAAGCTTTCAAACTTTTATTCCAGAAGGAATAAAAGCTTCCAAGATGCACTTTACGCATTTATATTATAGATATAAACATATCTGTTTGCAATTTAATTAGATGCTGGCATACAATATATTTTTATTGTTATATAAACTTAAGTATTTATATGGTGTAGTATTTGCCAAAAGAGAAGATGATCAAATGGATGTGTGGTGAGACTCTAGCAAGGCAAGAAAAGGAAGCATAATTTTAGACAGATTAGACAAAACTTTGCATTGAACAAAAATTAAAGTAGTTTAGGAATCAGCATGAAAAGAGGCAGCAGCTTCAGTAGAAAACGGATGCGGCAGAAGCAATAAAATTTGAAGAGAGCGCCCTACACATTGTATGAAAGAGCTCTGGTTAGAAAAAAAAATGCTCCAGATTGTTTATATTAGAGAAACAGCATAAAAGAGGAAGGCTAATGCCTGATGATGATGATGATGATAATCATAATGATGATGAAAATGAAGATCATGATGGTATAATGATGATAATGATGATGATCATCATCAGGCATCAATCTTCTACTTTTATGCTGTTTATGATGATGATCATGATGATAATAATGATGAATATGATGATGATGATGTTGATCATAATGATGTTTATATATGGATATATATACAAAATATAACATAAATTTTGAATTAACAAAACATACTTTAGGATGTAGAAATATATATGCAGCCCCAGTTACTAACCCGACTCCAGCTATATTTTATCGAACCCTGCCTTGGTCCTGGTCAAATATCAACCTCAGTCACTATATATGTGTAAAGTATGTGGTTAGTCACTAGCTCACAAAAAATAGAAAATGTTTTTGCAATTATAATTAATACTTAACAATATTATTCACACTCCAATTGTGATGACAAAAGATTTATTTAAATTTTAAATATTTTTAAAAATCTTAATAATTATAGAGTATTTAATAACTTACCAGAACTCTTTTCATTGATTTAAACTGACCCAAACCAACAGCAATATAAAGGAAAATAAATACATAACTGACCAATATAGGTACTACATCAGATTCACTTGTTCGAGCTATTTCATCTTGAACTGAACGCTCACTGGAATATGCCACTGATACACCAAGCTTGGGTGCTACATTCTCTTTCCATTCCTTGACATGCTCTAAAAATACTTTTTCCCATGCCTCAGCTTTTTCATTTTCTTTATCATTAACATGATTTTTCACCACAAATGTGATAATCAATGCTTTTGACTCAGTATAACGGTCATCATGAAATCCTCCAAATACAAGTTTTGGTGGAACAGGTGCTCCAAACTGACTCATACATGGTAATTTTAATTTTTCATTATTACTCAATGACGAAGGATTACTACAAAAAAAAAAGTAAAAAAATATTAGGATTTATTTCTTAATATTGTATCCAGCATACACAGTGGCATTATTGAATATACTTGATAGTATAATGTATAAATCATATAAGCCATTGGTGGGCTCAACACTTCCCTTATTTAAGAATTAAATCACAAACGTATTTAAAAAAAAGCTAAATATAAATGTTAAAATTGTTTCACTAAGTTTAATTTCATTTTATTGACATTCAACTTTTCTAGTTAAACATTAAAACTCAATTGAATGTCAAAAGGTCTGAACCTTTAAAACTGACTTCAAATTTAAATAAAATGATAGGAAACAGTAAACCACCTCATTAATATAACAGCACTCTAGGAAAAAACTAAGAATTATTTTAAAAATATTTTTGCTTTGAAATAATTTTCATAACAGCTCACAATATTAAATCTCTGAACGATGATTTAAAGACAATTCACAGTTTTTTATCTTTTTAATTCAACAATGAATTAATCGTGTCAGAGATATAAATCACTAAGAGACATAAACATGAATGCTGGTAACAAAAAAAACCATCCTAAAAATAAATCAAATTTATCCTAAACATAAAAAAAGCAGACACATCCTAAAAATAAATCAAATTTATTTAGATAATACTATAAAAATATTGCAGAATAAAAATATTAAATTAATAAAAAAACATTTAAACAACAAGAACATAATGACTACCTTGTACAACCCAAGATTTGATCATGCCAATCTGCTTCTCTAGATCCCAAAGCGTATGGTCCACAAGGTTCGTCCATGTCAGTCAAACAAACATCAAAATTTTCTTGATTTAATTGAAAATATTGCATGACACTGAATACTGTACATGCAGAGTTATCAGGAAGTAATGGTTGCAAACAAATGTCATTTAAACGAACTTTCTCTCCGCTTTTTGTTTCACCAGTCAAATTCATCAAGTCTAATTGCAGCCAAAGAGTCTATTAATTCAGTAAATTAACAAAAATTAGAAAACTAAATTTATATACATACCTATTTACATTTATTAACCAATAGTTTAGGATGTGTATAAATAATACCTATGCATGAATGAGATTGAATGAAAGACTTTAAGGAAGAAACCTACTGAAGCAGAACATGTAGAAGTTCTGCTATAAACAGATTAAGTCTATAATGCCAGTTATTGTGATCTTAAATATTATATTTAATTCTGTCAAAATCTTTAAAACTATTCTCAAAATAACTGTTAATATTTTTTTGGGTAAGTGTTGAAACAATTTACTTCCAATTTGTTTAAATAATTGACAACTATGTTGGCAACAAATTTGTCTACAATGTTGCAATATATTTACAGTATTTGTATTTGAAATTATAATTCTTATTAGATTATATAAGTTTTTTATGCAATTAGCACATGTTCATCCATCAAAATAGTTAGCTAGAGTATTCATAATTAAACATTTGAAATTAGTGCTAGACTTTCGCAGCCAGATGTCAGGAATGTTCTACACATTATAGATCTTTTTTTAAATGAGCGAGCATGAGACCTCAGTAAAATCTAAAAAAATCAACTATATGTTATATTAAGATTTATATAATTATAACATGTTATCTAGAGATATGGAGTCCCAAAGATAACTCTGGATTTGAAAGTCACAAAAATATTACTTTTTCCTTGTAATGGTACCCAGGAGCTCTGATAATATAAAAAGCTAATGGACTACTAACGGAAAAAAAATTATGTGCATCATCAAAGTAGGGCAAAAAATTAACATTTTATTTTTGCGCTGTCTGTGTTTCCAAGTGTTTTAAATCAGAGCTGATTAAGTGGTACCCATTTTATAAACTTTGTCCACTTATGGGTTGGTTAATTTTGCTGATAGTGTGTTTTGTACTGAATTGTAACAGTAGATTTATATCAGAACTTGCCTAATGCAAATGGTAATCCGAAAATGCATAATTAAAAGATTAAGTAGTAGTATTGCTATTTTTATTTTTTTTGCAATATTACCTTGCAATGAAAAGAGAAATTTTGTTCATAGTTTACAGCTTGAGGTTCATAATGATTAAAAAACTTGAAAATTTAAAACGACATTAATTCAGAACTAGTTCAAATTCTCAAACAAATACTAGTATTGACATGAGTACGCTTAAATTTTGGTTTCTATAATCTTACTTTGATTATGAGTTACCATTTTACTTCATTGTCAATATGGCTTTTACAATATATAAATTGTGCCACTATGCATCTCAATTTGTTATTGCTGACTAATCAAACAAAAAGTGATTTAGTCTTATTTTAAATTTAATCGATAATTTCAGTCTGTACCAATTCAATTAAGCAACTACTTATGAAAACAATATTCTAGATATTGTCTTTTTAAATAATTTTTCTTTTAAATTTGTCTTATTTTTGTTGAGTATTAATCTATTAGTTAAACTTGCATTGTTTAATACAAGGTAACCTTTTAAACCTTTTAATTACCACTTTTCACATTTTTCTTCAAAGAGTAGAGTGTTAAAACAAGCATCTGCATGTTCATTATCATTATTACATGTTAAAAAAATAACAAGCATAACTAAACATCTTAATTGTTCTTTAAAATAGATATCAAGATATGCAGGTATTATCAAGTTACATTGTTTGTGTCATGATACAAATCATAGCCAAAATTTAGTTGTCTAAATAATAATTTGAAAATACTTTAAAACTCACAATCCTTGTTTTTTTTTTGTTAGAGTTTTCACTATTTTTTTTTTTTTTTTTTTTTTTAATTCACCTCCTCAAGGCCGAGAAGGCCACTACAGACAAGGAGGCTACTTATTTATGGCTATAACCCTCTCTCAACTCTATAACTCCGAAACACGAACCTTGATGAACAAGGCCGCTGCGCGGAGAAACGAGTTGAGCGCGGTACTACCAGGGACGTGGTGAGGATCGAACTCCGAACCACTCGATTATGAAGCGCGCGCTCTACCACTACACCACTACCGCATTAAACTACATATAAAATATCAATTTTAGAATATTGTTTTCCAGTTTTGACGCCATATTGAACTGATTAAAAGTGTTGAAAATACTCAAATCAATCACAATGTTAGAGAATTAAGAACCTTAAAAACTTAATTAACTATGACTGATTTAAACTGCTTGGTTTGGACTCGCTTGCATCATACCTATTTACACGCACTTGTATTAATTTTATTTACACGTACTTGTATAATTATTATTTACAGCAACTGTTGGTTTTTGAGTTTCTTGCTTTTATCACACAAACATTTTTATATACAAAACCTAAACCTCATGTCAAACTTTCAAATGTAAAATTGAACAATTTAAAAATATTTAAAAGTTAAAGGAAAAATGTCAGTGAAAAATTTGTAAGTACTTACTGCATTTAGTATGTCTTTATACATAATTCCACTAAAATTAGTAGGTTCTTGTTGTTGGTATACAGTATAACTATCAACATCTCTTTGTCTTAAACTGCTGATGATTATTTGTTCTGTGCGATAAAATGGGGAGAAATTTGAATCAAAATAATCTTTTTCAGATCTGGCAACACTATCTGCAGCTGACCACAAATCAACAGGATTAGTAACAACTTTGAACATAAATAAACCAGCAGAGCATACTAATAGTACAAGTAAACTAACTAATATAACTGTACAAGGATAGTTAGCACACCACGTTCCCCAAACTTTAAAGTAATATTGTAAAAACTTCTCTACATGAACACCAAGATTAATTAAACAACTTTTATGAGATTTACTTTGATTTTGATGATCTATGGTATGAAGAGACTTTGCATAAAAACTATCATTCATTACCTCAGGCAAAGAATTTGCTCTTGCAGAAACCTCTAGTTCTTTTTTAGATGTTCTAAGAACCAAAAAGACATAAACTGAAAAGAATAAGATCCAAGCAAAAAGAGATACACCAACAATAAATGTAAATAATTTAAAACCAAGAATCAAAGTAGGTTTAGTTGGAGCAGGTGGTGATGGAGGGACCGGGCAACTTTTTTTACAGTCTTGGCAAGAACATGCTGAACTATTTTTTCCTGTTCCAATATCAAAAAATGCTTCATCACACTGTATCATTGTCATATTGTCACTAATAATATTTTGTGCAGGTTCATCAATATTAAAAGCAATATTAAAAGGAGCATTAGGAGGAGTGCCAATAAAACTTAAAAACTTGGTTGGACTACATTTATCAGCTGTTGTACCACACATAAAGTCTAAAACATGACCATTGTTACCTGAAAATATTACATCTTTGCAAGAATTATAGAGTCCATTGGCAAATGCTTTTGTAACATAAAATACAGAATCTGGAGTTATACTTGGATCTTTTTCATTGTATATATAATCCAGAAACATGGATTGGTTTGGAGAGCATGTAAAATCACACCACATATTGTAAAAATTCTTTATACAAGGTGGACATCTTGAAAATAAAGTAGCTGCTGTTTCTAATTGATCACGGAGATTTATCAACTGTTGTAGTCCACAACATGTTTGAGTTTTTTCTATGCTTTCAACAGCTAGATATGGACAAACATTTTTAAGAATATTATACATTTCCATTGTTACATTTTTTGCAGGCCCATTATCAACATGATTGAATTTTTCATTTGGATTAGGCATAGAGCCATACATTGAACAATAACCATTTTGTCGAATTATGTAACCAGATGAAATCTGCAACCATAAAAAACTTTTAGCTCAAAGACTCATTAAAATAAATTTTGAAAAATTTATATAAATCTGAATCTAATATATATTTATTATTACAGAAACTTCTATTATGTGAAAATTATTTCACATAATAAAACCCTTAGATTTATAACAAAATTAGCATAAATCTCAAGGGTTGAATTAACTCAAAATTATATTAAGATTATGTTCATATAAAATATTTATTAGAGCAAAAGATGAATCAATTTATTATTTAAATCAGATTCTTTTTTTTTCTTACTCAAAATTTTTTGGAAGTTTCGATATATACAAAGTTGTTCAAGAAGGTGCATGAATGCATGCCATTATGTGACTTTGCTAATAATATTTTGTTTTGACAATTCGACCACAGCTATTAAAATGATTCAAATATTTTAACAGTTAAATAAAACTTTATTTAAAAAAATACAGACAATCTTAAAAGAAATGAAAAATTAAAAGAACTTACAAAACAAAAACATTTTTTTTTTTTTTTTCTTTACAGATATTTAAAAATATTTATGAAAAAAATAAATAAACAAATAAATTTACAACTGCAAGAATTATAACAGTCAAAATAATGCATAAAATAATGATAAACATATATGTTAATACAAGTGATTGTTTTTTTTTTTTAGCTTTAATTTAAAATAAGTAATACAAGCTATTTAAATTAATTAAATAAGTATTAAGTTGTTTAAATTAGTTTATGTAAAAGCACCTCTTTTTTATTTATTAATAAATAAAAACTTCTGAATTTTGAGATAAAAATAGTGCTTACAATTTAAAAACAAAATGAAAAATTTGAGATCAGATACATTTTCAGATACCGCAATTCGCAATCACTTAATTGCCCTTTGTAGATACTACATAACCCGAACATAGCCTAATACAATTGTGAGATTTAGTCAATGTTTAATACTAGTTTTGATTTTTTTTTATTCTACTACATACCCTGATACATAGCTACTATATAACCTGCTACACAGCTATTAAATAAACCACTACATAGGTAGTACACACAGGCTAACCACCCACTACATAGCTATTATACAACACGCTACTATGTAACCTGTTATATAACAATTACATAGCCTGTGGCTTGCAACATAGCTACTACATAGGCATACAGCTCGCTACATGTCTTTATATAAAAAATAATATACAATGTTTTAAATATACTTTTTTTTTTTTATTATTATACTTCACTTCCTCAAGGCCGAGAAGGCCACTACAGACGAGGAGGCTACTTATTTGGTGGCTGTAACCCTCTCTCAACTCTATAACTCCGAAACACGAACCTTGACGAACAAGGCCGCTGCGCAGAGAAACAAGTTGAGCGCGGTACTACCAGGGACGTGGCAGGGATCGAACTCGGAACCACTCGTTTATGAAGCAAGCGCTCTACCACTACACCACTACCGCATTAATAAAATATATTATGCTAATTTTAGAGAAATAAAGTCAAATGTTTACGAAGAAAAAGAATATAATAATTTTAAATTACCTGATATTGCGATATCAAATAAAAAGTGTACAAGTTTAAAAATTAAGTTTGACATCAATTATTGTTAAGTAAACTACTTAACAATGATTGATGAGAATATAAACAAACAACTAAACAGCATTTAACAGTAATTAAGCACATTCAATTATACAGTGCGATTAATTAAGCATATAGAAATAAAAACTAAAAAATTAAATACAGCTTACATTGATACTGTAACCATAAGTTATTTATTTATTTATTTGAAAACAACAGAAGGACCCGAAGGCCAATAACACTAAGTATACATTAACAAATTTTTTTTTTTTTTTACTGAAATGTTAAATTGTATCAAGTGCTGGACAAGTTACAACAAAATTGTATTAACTTGAACAAAGCAGTACAGCAACACGTTTCTTAAACATCAAGACAGACGATGCAGACACCACATCCTCCGATAAACTATTCCATACATTAACAATTCGATTAGAAAAGAAACACTTTGTGCTGTTTAAACTACAATGGTGTTTGTACAGTTTAAAGTTATGACCGCGATTATTCAAGTAAGAATTGAGAATAAGAATGTTTGATAGGTCAGTGTCCAGTTTATCGTTAAGAACTTTGTAGCATAAAACTAAATCTTTAAACACTCGTCGATATTCTAATGTGTTAAGCTTTAGTATGGCTAGACGCTTATCATAGGAAACTGACCACAGACCAGCAATTCTTTTAGTTAAGAAACGCTGCACTTTCTCAACTTTATTAATCAGGCAAATAGTGTAAGGTGACCATACTAAAGAGCAATACTCAAGCATAGGTCATACATAAGTACAGTAGGCTTTAACCATCAGCAATCTATCTCTTGAATAAAAAGATTTTAAAATAAGAAAAGCTCTTGTTATTAAGAAAAGTTATTATTAGTTATTTGCAACTTTATTTAAAACTGTTTCTCTAATAAAAACTTAAATAAAGAACAAAGTTTAAATGTTATTAATTTCTAATGTATAATTCAAAATCATTTTAATTCAGCACATTTTTGAAATGTTAATAGCTGTGATCAAACTGTCAAAATAAAATAGTTGTTTGATCATATCTTGGCATATTATCACACAATCCTGACCACAACTGTAAATTTACGCATATATGTATATATATATATATATATATATATATATATATATATATATATATATATATATATATATATATATAAATATATAAATATATATATATATATATATATATATATATATATATATACAAACACATATATATAAATCAAGCCTTCCCAGGAAGCGCCTGCGGTCGCATGTCTTGTTCGTCCACGTTTAAAGTAATTTTTTTAGACAGCTTGACCACATTTTTTATATTGTAAGCGTTTGAAAAATTTGCACCAAAATAAAGTTAAAAAAAACTACAGAGAAAAAAACAACAATACTCTAAGAAAGGAAACAAATACTATACAAAAAAGAAAATCTAAATAAACTAAACTAAAATAAATATATAATTAAAAAAAGAAAAATTTTATCAAAAAAATAATATACCTAAATATTTTTTAATGCTTTTGTTTTCTTTTTTTTTTTTAGGGCGTTTGTTATTTTCCATTACCAAAATTTATACAAGTTGAGGAAAAAAGCAGATAAGGGTCATCCGCAAAAAGCATCACCCATATTTAGTCTGTTTTTGACCCCTCCTTGACCCTTTGATTCTTTGACCCCCTCCTTGACCCTTGACCCTCTAATCCCCTCCTTGTCACAACATCATAACTCTTTAATAACAAGTTCCATATAGTTATCACAAAACCACTAAACTAGAGGTGGCCAAATCACTGCCGGCGGGCAAAAAAATGCCTGCAGAGACATTTTCAAATGCCTGTTAAACAATTTGGATATTTAAGAGACAACTATCTTGATAATGTGATACTTCTATCTACCTCAAAAATCAATCCAGACATCAAAAAACTAGTTTTAGACAAATTCACCACTCACATAATTATATTGCTTTAATACAGTTGATTATAAGATTTATTAGTCACTTATATTTTGGTAGAAATAAATAACTTTTGTCCGCAAAATTGTTTTTTAACTTTTATTGCCTATATTCTAAAAAGTCTTGCCATCCCTGCACTAAACCTTCTCCTACTCCCTTCTCCCCAAAAGCGTGATGTAATTTATAGATGACCCCTAAGAATATAACAAAATTAAAAACATTTTTTGATACACAATTTTTCGTGACTTTTTTAAATCAGTATATTAGGGAAATACTTTTTTATTAACGCTAGAAACAGGGACAATTTAAAAATATTTTTAAAATATTCTTTATCAATGCACAGGAAAGCGAAAAAACTAATTGCTATTTATTTGTAAAAAAAAATTTATTTTATTATATTGCTAGTATTATTTTAAACAAGTTTTTAAACTTGTGAAAAATAAAAAGTAGTGAAAACAACTAAATATAAAAATATTTTGTTGTTTTTACTATTCCCGTTGAAATAGTCGACACTTCGTTGGATTATCCAAAGTATGCATTTAAACCCAATAGTTTATTTTTGATAAACTATTGCCTTTGAAAATGCTCAAAAAGGTTGTAGGCTGGTGCATTATTAATTTACTGAACTCTTTTAACATAATTTTTAGGAGTTTTTAAATGCATCTTTTTTAAACAGAGCAATTGTTGTTTATTATCTCTTAAAAAAGACCTGTTGATTGCGCTACAGGAACATCCCTTTTGAGACGATTTGGGTCAAAAAATAGGCAAATTTTGACAGTACTAAAATACTATAAACTATATATCCTTTGATAAAAAATTTTATACTGATCAATATTTATATAAAAACTATGACTTGAAAACAATTATTTTTTAAGTTATTTATGTTTGAAAATTGCAAAATCGTCAAAAGATTAGGCCACAAAAAACTTCTTTAGATTTTTTATTTTCAAAAGTTAAATTTTTACTTTGAAAAACCTCTTTTGTTTTCATTACAACTGTTTTCAATAAAACATTTTTGTGTGAATGGAATAATTTAGTTTTTCTACAAAAAAAAGTTTGCGTTGCATTGAAATGTAAAACTTACAAGTTGAAAGATGTTGTTACAAGTAGTAAAAGTAATAAATTAAATGAATAAAAAAAAGAAAAGTAAAAGCACATTTTTAAAAGAAAAAAATAAATGCTGTTTGTGTATTGTGCAAGCTTAACTTTGACAAAGAAAGTTATGTCATGGAAACGGTCTCAAAACATTGATTTGATTAAGCGAAGAATTGAGTATGAATAAACTATGCAAGTTAAAATTTAAATCTTACAAAGAAGATTTTTTGAGTAGTTTGTTAAATCTTCAGTTTACACATAACAACTCAGATTCAACTCGTATTATCTTGTGATAAATAAAATATCTATTATGTAAAAAAATACAAAAATAAATTGTATGTAAATAAATGTTTTATGTAATATAATATATTATATCAGGTAGAACATTGTATTTATATATATATATATATATATATATATATATATATATATATATATATATATATATATATATATATATATATATATATATATTCTTTTGTATTTGTTTTATATATTAGATAGAACATTTTATTTATTACATTTGTAGATAGAACAAGATAATACTGAGGGGACGATATGTTTGGTTGTATAATTAAAAAAATATTATTGTTTGTTATTTAAAAAGGTTTGGGATAAGAAAACATACCAGATAATTTTTGCACATTTTTAGTTACCTTAAAGACCAGTTGCGACAGAACACGCATAACAGTACAACAGTACTAGTCCATCATAGCTGTAGAAGACAGTTTTTGGATTGTTGTAATGATCAATCATTATCTGTACCAAAAAAGAAACTGCGATCCTCATTTAAAGAGGTATTTGATTGGAAATCAAAATGTTTTCTTTGTACTAAAAAGTAGACCACAAACATTCACCAATTGCTAAAGTTGAGACTATACCATTAATAAACAAAATGATAGAATGTTCTTTAAAAAGAGACAACGATTGGGGGAAGGTTGCACATTCTTGTTTTATGTCATGTTATGATCTTGTAGCAGAATATGCCATCTATCATACTTCGTGTATGAATAACTTCAGACATAAAACAAAAAGCAATAACCAACACAGATACCCATTAGATCTCACTATGTATGAAATTTTTGAAAAACTTTGTCTCTGGTTAGAGGAAGGAACTGATTTACACATTAAGATGAAAGAGCTTAGTAATGGTTATCCATATTACTCAACAAAATCTTTAAAACGAAAATTACTTGAACATTATGGTGATCAAATTTATTTTGGAGAACTCTCTGGTCAATCTAATTTAGTTTGTTTCAGAGATATGGCTTCTTTTATAATATCAAAATTTCATAAAAAAAAACATACACTAAAAATGATATTACTGCTGCTGCTGCAAGTATAATTGAGTGCGAAATCAGAGAAATGGATGTAAATAAATCTATTTATCCATCACTAGAGGATATGTGTGATATTAAATATGGACTCAAATGGGTTCCAAAGAGTTAACAGCTACTCCGAAGCCGTTTAATTTCTGTAAAGCTTCAACAAACTAGTTTCGGCGAATCCATTTCTCAAGCTTTGCGACCAAGATCTATGATAGCACTAATTCCATTTGGAATTAGCGTAGATATTGATTAATCTTTTGGAACAAAATGGCTTGTGGATCTCCTTTACGAATTTGGATTTTCAATATCCTCCGATGAAGTGAAGTTGTTCAAGTTATCTGCTACAGTTAATAAATGCTACGCATTAACAAGAGCCAAACTTCATACATTGGGTGGCTGACAATGTAGATCACAACATTGACCAGAAAAGGACATTTTCACAGAATGGGTTTAATATCAATATGTTCTTTTTCTAAACACAATTATGAAAGCATAACACGTTTGAAACACAAGTCTATTAAAAAAGTATCTGATGTGTCTTTAAAAATAACGCCTATGCACGGATCAAGCTACCACGGTTTATTAAATGTACGTCTTAAACTAATAAAAGAAATTGTATCTGAATTATTTTGGGCGTCCGAAATGAATCTTGATCTTATTCGGTATGTGGCGTGGTTTTTTAGTTTAAAAACTAATCCTTGCCCAAACTGTTCAGGTTATATGATGCATACTACATCATAATCAACAACAACTTATAACAAAGCATCCATCAAGTTTTTACTAATTATTGACTAAAACTCTTCAGATGAAACGTGCATATATTCTACACTGTTGTTCATTATTGATGAAGCTAATAAATATAAAATAGTTACTGCCTGCATTACGTTTGATCAACCTGTGGCAGAAAGCTTGCCGTCTCATTTTTTTGGTTCTCGGAGTCTGTATAATGTTAGCCGCAATCTGCAGACTAGATAATTTATTCCATGCGTGTTTAATTCATAACAGTTTCGGTATATGACGCCATTGTATAAACCTTTTCTTTCAAATGTCGTTTTATTTTTTTGCAACAATCACCAAATCATGTTAATTGTAAAACTTTTTACTAAATCCCAAAAAAAAGTTTATGATGCAATTAAAAATTAAATTTATAAACTTTATAAAAATAAAAATTTAATACATAACGAATATTTACAGTAAGATGCACGTGTTTAAACTAAATAGACTAGATACTAAAAGAATAATTTTACTAAAGCGTATAAATTAATTTAAAGTATAAACTGAATAAAAAACAAGTGACTTGAATAAAACATATAAACTGAACTAAATAGAAAATAAATATTAAATAACTTATTTTACTATTAACCGTTCAAACTAAATTAAAGTTAAAACAAATATTTGTACTAAAATATACAATAAATAGTTATAATATAAATATAAAACAAAGAATCACATTAAATTGTTCGCTACCAGCCAAACAAAAATCTTTTTTGTAGCAACTACACATTTTTTTTGAATAACATTTGAATAGCATTTAAAAATTCAATAGCAATTATTCAAAATTCGATAATAATAAAGTTTTTAACACGCATCATTAAACAATAAGAAATGCAAAGTACATAAAACTATTGTTTTTATAAGTAGTAACTAAAGCATTAAATCTCATTTAATAAATAAAAATAATATTTTTACTTCAAAATACTTTGGTAATTACTTAACTAAATACTCAACACTTCTACAAGTTAAGTTTTACGGTGTTAACGCTGTTTTATTTTATAACTAAATTTAAACTTTTTTTATGAAAATTTTTTCAAGATTTTTTAACTTTGTGATAACTTTTTTATAATTACACAACATAGCTCTTATTTTTTCTTGATTAAATAGAGAATTAATTAAACCTTAAGAACAAACAAATTTTATGTGTCTAGAATGGAAATTTACGTAAAAAACAAGATATATTGTAAAGCATACTCGAAAGCCGCTAGCAGTGGCTTTGGTAGTAAAAGTGTTAAACCATAACTAAATGTAAATTAAATATAAAACGAACAACTCTATTAAACCATATGAACTAAATATAAAACAAAAAACTGCATCATACTGTCTAATTGCGTCATGATTTTGGATGACTTCTAAAACAAAGTAATAATGAAGCAAGTAAAAAAAAATTATAAATATAAAAAAATATATATATGTTTTTTTTTTGTTCTTATTACAATATATTTAAAGAAAAATTAATTAATTTACAATTAGATCGTTAGGAAAAATTTACAATTAGATTGTTAAAAAGTTACTTAATAAGAAATAATTAAAAAATAAAGACTTTTTTGTTAATATAAAAAGAACGCGGAGACTTGCAGAATATCATTAGGTCTTGTCACCAAGAACCGCTCGTGAATTGAAACTTCATAAAATTCAATACATATATACATAAAGTCAATTGCATATATAGTTAATCACATTTAAGTGCATCTTCTTATAAATATTCAACTGAATAAACGAAATAATTTATCAAATTAATAACGCTTAAAAATATGACAATATATCATCATGAGACAAAATGATTTCTTTAAGCTTATTTCTGAATGAAAAATAACTCCATTGCAGAGAAAAATTAAAATGTTTAAAAACTATTTTGTTCCAAAGAAAAGCTCCTCGAAAAGAAATACTAGATTTTCCAAAATTAGTCTGAAAAAATGGATGACGAAATAAATTATCATTTCTTAAATTGTATTTATTTTTATATTTCAGCGTGTATAAATTATGGAAAGAGACTGGGGAAGAGTTAGTTTTACATCTATACATAAAACAAAGAATATTAAAAACATTAAGCTGATATATATTAAGAATTTTCGTTTCAAATAAAATAGGCTTGGCATGAGTAAATCTGTTTTTAAAATTAATAAGACAAGCAACATACTTCATGTTGACGATAAAGAGGCTCCAGTTTACATTTATTGGCATTGCACCAAGCAATATTTGCATAATTTAAATGACAATGGATAAAAGAGAAATATAATTGAATTAGACTACGTTTATTTAACACACTCTAGCTTTATACAATATTCCTATACTTTTAGCAATTTTATTACACAAGAATTCAATGTGGTATTTCCTACTAAGGTTTTCATCAATATAGATACCCAAAAAATTAGTACTAATTACTCTTTTTATATGGATTTTATCAATAAAAAGTATAGTTAGTTCACAAGGAAGTAGTTTTTTTTTTAGGCGCTGGATGAAGTGTCTATTTTGTTTTTTCAACATTTAGTAAAAGTTTATTCATTTTAAACCAACCAGATATTTTTGTTAACTCCATGTTTATATCTCAAAATAATGTAGTTAAGCTATTATCAGACAAAAAAAGTTAGTGTCATTGGCAAACATGACTGACATCAAATTAGAAGAGGTCCTAATATCGGGCCCTGCGGAACCCCACAGGTTATGTTTAATAAATAAGATGGGTTAACTTCATTACTATAAACAAACTGTTTTCGGTTACTTAAGTAATTTTGAAGTAACTTTAAAACATTTCCTTTAATTCCATAATATTTAACTTTTTTAAGGAGAATTTGGTGATCGATTGTATCAAAAGCTTTTGATAAATCTATGAAAACTCCCAACATAAATTGGGAATTTTCAAACGATTCAGAAATAATACAAATATATAGAGTATCGCGTGCTCTGTTGATGTATTTTTTTTGAACCCGTATTGATTAGTATAAAGTATATTATTTAAAAAAAGGTGATTATAAATTACGTTATATAGGATTCTCTCTAACACTTTAAAAAAAAACAGGTAAAACCGAGATTGGGCGATAATTTGTAAGATTTGTAGTATCACCTTCTTTTAAAATTGGTGTGACTTTGGCAATTTTAAGATGGTTTGGAAATATTCCCTGTTTTATTGAAAAGTGTAAAACTTTAAATAGTACATCTTTCAAATGCTCCTACAAGTCAATTACCACATTACTATATATACCGTCATGACCGACAGATTTATTAGACATTAGCATTTTAAAAGATTGCTCAAATTCTTCAAAAGATAATTCAAAGGAAATTAGATACGAAGTTAACAGTAAATCGAAGTTATCCATTTTGTTTATCACAAAAGGAAATTTTTTTGCAAGATTTGGGCCAACTAACACAAAGAATTTTTTTAATTAATCACATATCATTGTTGAATTGGACAAAAATTTATCATTAATTTTTAAGATTACAGGTAGTGTGCATGTTTTTGTTTTTTGCATGCCAGTAACTTCTCTTAGAATTTCCCAGGTGTGTTTAGAATTATGTTTGTTCATTTTAGGTAGATTGGAGTAGTAAAGTTTTTTTTAATTCTTTCTTAGTGTTTCAAACTTTCTGACATGATTTTTGTTAGGAATCTTACTTTCTTTTTTTTTTGTTTTTGCTTTTAAGTATTTAATATATAACTTTTGCTTAATTTTAGAAGATTTTCTGAGATCTTTTGTGATCCACGGTGACATTAAACCTCTATATTTTTTCAATTACAGTACATTTTAAAAAATTGTATATTTTATAAAAAGTTTTAAAGAATGCGTCATAAGCTACATTAACGTCTGCAGAAGCATTTACATTTTTCCAATGCAGTAGAGATAACTGTTCTTTATATGAATTTAAATTTGCTGAAGTAAAAAAGCGTTTTGTAAACGTTACATTCTCTTGGGGTATTTTTGCTGTGGGAATGTTAATTGAGAAAAAAAATTGGGAAGTGATCA